CTATGTTAATGTGACTGAAAACACCAAACTTTCACTGAAGTGATACGGCAGCCTGCGTGCGTGTATGTGTGTGTGAGAGAGAGAGAGATGCTGTGACAGAGAAACACTTCACAAATGCTGTAATATCCGGAATATATGAATGACTCTAGCACAGAGGGCCCCATATGGGTGATGCATGGGAGCCATTTTTGTTCAGAAGCGCTGAGCCAGGGCAAGTCTCTCTCTCTCTTTCTTTTTCTTTTTCTTTTTTTCTTTTTTTTTTTTTAAAGAGGGAAATTCCTCCTGCCTGGCTGCTTTGATACAGGCTGGATGGTTGTATTTACATGCATACAGTAACAAGGAAGCATGCGCCAACAGTTGAAAGAGAAGCAGACCTGCTGTTATAGAACTGAAACAAGCTGGAGCAACCGATTACGGCTGAAACCTACATCTGAGCAGACGCTGGACGTCTATTTCAGACATTTTACAAATATCTGTAGGACTCCAACAATTATTTTCATCTTTTAAAATAAATCTATTGAATGTTCTCTCAACTCCTCAATTGTTTGATCTGTAGACTCAACAAACAGCAGAAAATACATGTAAAAATGGGGAAAAAAATAAATTGTGTTCACTGTCACAGAGGAAAAAATTATGCTCTGTTAGACTGCGATTTTTTTCAATTTATACTTAAGAGACTACAAATAATTTCTTAAATATCAAATTAGTTGCCAAATGATGTCCTGACAACTTATGGAGACTAATTGCTTTATCTCTTATACTCTTATGTTCTAAATGTATTCCATCATTTTCACTGTGCATCTAACTGCATAGGCCAAAATGTATCAGCAAAAGCAACATGTTAGACTGAATTTTGCACAAATCCTAAATGTCTCATCACACTGACTAGTCAAGTCAAGCAGTGAGAACACAGACAAAAGAACTGGTGCTTTTTTTGGTTTTCAGACAAGCGCTTCTGTACACAAATGACCATCAGTTGCAGAATATTGCCAATACACCAGAGGAGCTGATGAGAATCCTGTTTTGATGTATATAAAAACACTCCAGAGAAATTGTTGCTGCAATGTCTGGCAGCAAATGGCAGAAAAGGCCGCTAAGGTACATACAAACACCATCAAATGACAGCAATGACATGCTTCTTTTAACTCCTTCTCCTCAATAAAGATCATTCATCAGGCAGAACCATCCCCTCTGGAATGTGTGATTGGAAATCGGGCGACTTTAAATCCCCGTCCCGGACACCATCCATCCATCTTCAACACGCCACTGGTCTGGGCACCACTGGCCAGGAGATGAACCGCTGAACCAAATGCCTCCATTCAGCCGTTCTTCTCTACCTTTTTAAAAAAATAATAATAGTAAATACCAGCAAATGCATGGAACCCAAAATCAGGCAGTCACATCACAATTTCACTGAGGCAGTGAGGCATCCCGGACCTGCATCCAATTTAGAGAGATATGGGGAGCATAGGAGGCAGAGGGCCCCCATATGCACTTCCCAAAAACAAAACAGATGCAGGATATTAAGTATGTGTTCGTGCATGTCTGTGTGAGTGTGTGTGCATGTGTGTGTGTGATGTAGGTATTACTAATGTTGTGGGGACCTAAATCTCTTTCTTGTGCGGACATAAAGCTAGTCTACATAATGTGAATCATTAAATTTTTAAGGGGAAGACATGCTTTAAGGTTAGGATTTGGCAGGTACTAGTCATGGGTAGTTTCCAGAAAATGAATGAAAGTCAGTGTAATGTTCTCTGAAGTGATGCATATATAATTGTGTGTGCGTGTCAGATGTGTACATTGGCCAAAAGAGGCGATAGTGTAGTGACATGAGGTTCAGACTAACCTTTGGAAGGAAACAATCCAACTCTGTGATGGCCTTTCCTGTGATGACACGCATGGGGAAACCTCGGGAATCAGATGGCATTCACCCTCTGATTCCCTATCATAACACCATTCACTCACTATTATTATGATGGCAACGGTTATAGTTGGATATATGGAGTTTACAATTATTCTCATGATATGAAGGGGAGGAAAAGATGGATGTTAATGTTACACAGTCTGCATGAGAGCCAGGATGGCATAATTTTGCTGTATGCTACGTGTTATAAATATGACTGATGGCGATAGCCAGTCTGTTGAATTACATTTACATATGGATTTACATTCCCATCAACATGTAATAATAGCGCAGGCCTGAAGGTCCATACTAGTCACTCAGACATGCATGCATACACTCAGTGCACACATGCACATATTCTGACATTTCATAGCTAATATTTGTGCTTTATTGAGGAAGCATTCATCAGAATGAGAATAGTCTGTGTGGTGACAAACAGTATCGAGACCTGCTGGATCTTTTGTCTGCAGGAAGAAATATGATGTCTTGGAATTAAAGCAGCCCAGCTGACTATTCACTGTCAACTTTGATAATGATGTTTTATAATCAGGAGAGGTACGCACAGTTCAGAGTAATGTAGTTTCAGGGTGTTCTATGAGCACAAAGGATATTCACCCTAAGTTGACAATATTTTGCATAACAATAGAGCCCAGCTGGTACTGTTATTCAGATTCCTTGTTTTCTTGCAAGTATTAATAAGTGCTGCATTTAATAGTGACAATAAAGAAGCAGAAAAGGAAAAGGGAGGAGACATGGGACAAAATTCCCCAGCAGGTCTTCAACCAATGATGCCAATGACATCATCATCAGTGTCTACAAATGTTTGGCAGCCAGTGCAATTTAGATTGATTATAAAATGATTTCTTATTGTTTTATTAGACCTTAATTGTTTCATGTGAGGATTTATATAACATGAGCATAGGAAGGTGAACAATTCCTGAAACCTACAACAGTCACAACAGATCACAATGAATTAGTATCATTGAAAGTTTTTTTTTTCCACTCAGATCTTTACAACCCACCAAATTACACCACAAGGGATTATCACCTGTAGTAATATTATTATTATTAATAATAATAACAATAATAATAATAATAATAATAACAATAATAATAATAACAATAATAATAATAATATCTACTTCTGTAGGCCATTTCAAACCCAGAATTACATGATTCTTTACAAAACATCAGAATGTACACATTTTTAAAAAGTAACAATAAAACATTAGAAAAGACATGAACTATTACAAATGCCTGTTTGTACAGTTATGTCTTTTGAACTGAGGCACTGACTGAGCTAGTCTGACTGTAAGGGTCCACAGTGTTGAAGCTGTTAAGAGTAAGAGTCCCCCTTTGTTTTAAGGCTGGACCGTGAAATTTTTTAACAGTAATTGATTCTCTTATCTGAGAGATCTCAAGGGCTTAGGTGCGGAATAAGGGGTTAAAAGTTTCAAGATGTAGACTGGAACCAGACCATGTAGAAGTTTCAGAGGTAATCAAGAGAATCTTAAATTGAATTCTGTAACCAATGAGGAGCCAGTGTAATTCAGCCAGGACTGGAATAATGTGTTACCTGTGACCGGTGCTGCATCGTTAAGAAAAGGGAGTAGTGAGTTGCAATAGTCCAGAGGGCTGTACTACAAAGTGAGATTAGTGTGTTATTGAGGTATGTTGAGCCTAAAATCAGAGCTTTCAGTGTCATGAAGGTGGCTCTTTTTTTTTTACCTGGCTAGATCTCCATGGTAACTGATGCTGTGGAGCTAACCTGGTCAGGAGCAGCTTATGTTCAGAGTTTAGGATTTAAATTGGCTGAAAACAGCGTCTCTCTTTCACCAAATTGTTTCCTGACTGTCATTTATGAGCGATATAGATTCTCAGCTGAGGAAATGTGTTTTATCTGCAAACATGCTGAGTTGTGCGTTACTAACATTACTGAATGAAGCCGTGCAGGTACAGTATCACACACTGTATATATTGTGTTGCCATGGGAACCAATGCAGAAATCACATAAATATGTTTTTATGTTTGGCTCTGATTTGCTGTCAAGTCCGTTTACACTGCTGTTACTGCAGCTGATAGAAAACTGATTAGAAAATGGATTGTTCTACTGATATTTATTACGAAGAATGTTCAATCAATAACATTAATTTTCACTTGAGAGTGTGAATATGCTATTCAACAATGCTTTTAGGGAGCATTGGTTTGACCTTGGCAATATTTCTGAGTTGAAGATGTCATGATTGAACCAGAGTCTTAATGTGCTAACTGAAGTTGAGGTTGTGATAAAAAACAACTCTAAAGTTTCTTGCTGAGTGCTCCATGTTTGTTATTAGTTGCCCAAGACGGGGGGTGATATGATTACAAGTGTGGTTGGGAGCAATACCCAGGGCTTCAGTGTTAAGTTGTAGAAGTTGTATGGTATCATGCTGGAAATAATAATGAAACTAACTGGCAACCCTATCATTTTAGAAGAACTCTTCATCACAGCAAAACTATGTACATCATTTATATCAGGATATTATATAATTAGAATTTAAAGGGGATTAAATCAGAGCAAAACAATGTACTCCTTTTATATCAGAATATTACAGGATTGTAATGTTGTTAGGGAATTTAATCAAAAATAGATGTACAAACGTCCCACTGGCACATTGCAAATTTGTATGGGTCTATTTCATTGGAGTGATTTTGGGGCCAAAACTAACACTGGGAATATTAAGGTGAAATCATCATTGTAGACACAAAATGTGAGGTTTTGAGTTTGCTGAAGTACAGTTTACCTTTTTAAAGTGCTAGTTAAAAGTTTGGGAGTTTGGAACTGGGCAGCTGTTTATACACAGTTTTTACACAACTTACACAGTTTGGTCAACATGCTGACACTTGAGGGCAAAAAAAAGAGTTAAGAAATTTTTTTTTTCTGCGTTGGAGGGAATTTGAACTGATTGAAATTCCCAAATCCAGTATCATACTTCCCATCTGTGACTGGCACTTCGTTACCCTGTTTCTAACATCCCTCCCGTCACTACTTTGGCTGACGGAGTGAAACGTTACGGTCGGCCAACTTATTTTCCTCGGACAAACCCGGAAGCTGTTTGTGTCTCTCCTTCTGGCTGGAAGCAGAAGAGCAACTTCGACACCTGAACCTCTCCAGTTTGTTGGTAAAGGTGAGCTCACGCTTAGTGACAATAAATATGAAACTCACACAGTGGTGTCTCTGTATAGGGATACTTCAGCTCCATTTAGTTGCTTTCCTTCATATGTGTCTGGGACTGAAATGCTCCATTGTTTACATCCGACCGGCAGCTGTGCTGCTTATAAACACGTGGACAGACAGGAGGGACACATGCTAACGTCTACATGTGGAGATATTTCCTTATAGTCACCACGCAGCGACAGATTGCCAAGTTAATTGTGTTTCTGGGCGAATTGAATTTTAGTAATGTAACGGTAGTTTGCTAAAGAGCTAAGGTGTGCTACACTCTGCTAGCTCGTTAGCATTTAGCTAGCCGGGGCTAACTGTGAGCTAACTGCATGTACAGGGCAGTCAGTTATGAAACAGAGATTTCTGCAGTTTTGCTTGTTATTGTAGTGCAACCGATCTACTGTGTGTTTGAGACCTTATTCTGTCACTGCACTCTGTGTTCACATCAATAGCCAAATGACATGTCAGCACAAATCCTCAAATCAGTGCATTCATCAGTTGATTTCCTGATAGAAATCTTCCCCGTTTAATAGGTGACAATAACGTAGTGACTTAAAAGCATCGGTGATGGTTTGATTTAATCATGTCATAAACACGAGACCATTCTACAGCACAGAATGGTCTGGCTGCACCACATTATCATTCTGCTGTAGGGGAAGAAATGCTTTGACTTGTTTGTATTTCTGTAAAATAATCACAATTGTCTTGGACAGAGCAAAGCAAAGGATTTAGCAACAGTATGCAGCAAATTAGTGATAGGGGAATTGTTTTGGTGGAATGCTGACACAGGGAAGTAAACACTGTCATTAAAATGGCTAGTGGCTGCATGATCCAGCTCTTCCAAAAACCTTAAACGTTTCGGTGTGATAGGTCACTGCTTAGAGGTTGTTGTTGTTGTTGTGAAGGGTATTATAAAAAAAACGGAACACAAAGATGTAGGCGAGTAGAAAGGTTTGCAATCCACATTAGATGAGTCAAAATAATGTTATGATAAAGAGGAAAAAGAAAAGGATAGCAGACAGAGATCAGACAAACAGCACATAACAGAACAATGAACACTGGAGAGGATGTTGTAGAATTACAATTTGAATAAAAGCTTGTAGCTATAGGGATGGATCAGTTAAGTGATCTGAAAAGTTTTTTTTTTATCCTGTAATATAATTTATGGAAGTATTAGGTAGTGTAAAGTATTGCTACTCAATTACCTCTGCTTATGTTGATATTGGGCAGAGCTGCGATGTGAATTTTGTGAGTTCACCACACTCCATTTACTTTTTAATAGCGGACATTTTGACTTGTGGTAAAGTATGAAAACATTATGCTCCATCTTCCATTTGCTTCATTTTAAACCCAACTGTACTTTGAGGAAGAAAAGCACAAGTGTGACTAATGACATTAATAACGACTATGTTCTAATCAAGTGTGTCAGTAAGTCAAGACAGTTTCGTGATAAATAGGCAACTTCAAGACCCTTACACAAAATTTAGCTACATTGCGTCTATAATTCATATCTGTGCTTTCTTTCTGGGACATGTGAACATATTGCTTTTGAAAAGCCATCTTTGAATGATGAATTCAGTTGCCCCATAATAGATGCAACAGAGTTGACAGGAGAGTCCAGCAGTGCCGATCAAGTACAGTCTGCACAGTCCTGAGCAGGGCATTAATTAGGCAGATTAAGGGAAATCACCTGTGTTGGTGGACCATGACTGTACCGCGGCTTTAAGTACAGTACATTAAACTCCACCACTGTAAAACACAGTTAGTCATTTGTCAGCTCCCAGTCCCTGTATGCTGCTAAACTTTTAACACACAACTGTCGCCCCTCGCCAGCCGGTAAGACTCTACTTTCTGTCCCTTTAATCCCTGGTGGCCAGCTTGTGACCGTGTAGCGTGGCGTTTATGCAGTGTGTGCGGCCTGGGAGCCAATCATCTCCAGCCATCATGGCACAGACACGCAGGACTGGACAGAGCAATGGGCCGGCGCCCCTTCTCCATCCACTGTGTGTGTGTGTGTGTGTGTGTGTGTGTGTAAGAGGGAAACGGGGATTGGGAAAATTAACAACACTATGCGTTTTGCAGAATGAAGTAAGTAGATTTAATTTAACAGTGTCTGATGCAATCATTCAACATGAGACCCACTTAATGTTTTGTTAAATGTTAAAATAAACACCTGAAATTGATAAACTTGGGTCCAAGCTGTTTCCTATCAGCACGGTTCAAAAAACGTCTACAGGTTAAAAAAAATTCTTGGTGCAGCTGAACCATGTTCTTTCAGCTTTGTTAACCAGACCTTATGGTTTTCAGAACAAGACCCAAGTTTCCCGTAATTGATGTTGGCCTGTGTCCACTTCAGTTCTTCAGTATTATAGATGGTCAACATGATGGATCATTGTAGAGAAAAATAACTAACAAACAATCCTGGTAACAATGTCGGCTTACCAGTCGGATATACTGAATTTGCATTGGCAGATGTGGACAATCATAGTTACATATATGATGAGTGCGTGACAGTGTACAAATTGATTGTACACAGATATTAAATAGGAAAAATGAAAAACCACACTGGTGTTGGATTGTTTTTTTGTTTTTTCTTCTTTTTTAAATCAGTGTCAGTAATTGCACATTTTGTATTTTATATTTGGACAAAAAACCTTAATGATGTTTATTTTAATTTCAATTTATTATATTGTAGTCAGGTTAATGCAGTTTGTTTTAAGTAAATCTATTTTTATTTATTGTTGTCCTCTGGTTTAGATTTTCCAAAAACATGGTTTTTGAACATGATGCGAAGTAGCTGACTCTCGACATGAGATGATGACCTGAGGCGTTGCAGCGTCTGACCAACATCTGAATACGCCACACATAAGTCATAAAAATAGTCCATAAGTAAACAGTGGCTACCTTGGCAGTGGGAAAATAAAATTTAAAAATGTGTTCAGTACTAAAATGATTAGCTAATAAGTGAATACAGGGAAGTTAGTTTTGAAAAAAATAAAATAAAATAACCACCAACTGCTTTGGTCATTGATTAACCCTTCAAGTTAGTTTTAAAACATTAATGCTGAGCATTACTTAATATCAAACTACTTAGTTTTTAGGATTTGTTGCCTTTCTTTGATTTGTGTGGTTGTGAATTGAATATCTCTGGATTTTGGACTGTTGGACTGTGGGACAAAATAAGACATTTAAAGATGTTGCTTTGAGCTCCAGAAAACTCTGATTGAAACTTAAAATTAACTTCATTGTTTGACCTTTCAGGAGACCAAATCATATTGATAATAACTGGTAATTACAGCCTGTTTGAATGAAATTTGGTTTGCTTAATTTTCAAGAGTTTTTTGTCCCTGTTGGTACATTTTAATTGTGCGTTACATTACTATTCATATCATAAGTTGCTTTAGATTGCAGTAAAATATTAATTTAGGCACTGCGATTGCTGTAATATCTTGTTTTTTCTGTGTTTTTATCCCTGCAGTGGGCTTCTGCCACTGAAGTCACCGTCTCCCCAGGTGTGAGTGCTGGTGAGGTGCTTGCATGCCTGTGTGTGCACTGAGCGTGTTTCGGGGTGATGTACTGTACCAGCCAGGACCGAGAAGAGTTGGAGGATGACCTCTATCAAGAGGATGACGGGGACTCTGAAGGGTCAGAGGCCAACAGCGAGCTGGAGTTTCGTCTCTACAGCCAGCTCCACTACTCCTCCAATCCCGGGGAGTTGGAGGAGCAGGACGATGGGGACGAGAAGGAGCCCGACAGAGAGCACCAGGACAGCCAGCAGCATGAGGTGATTGAGAAGGCTGAAGATGATGATGATGAAGAACTGAAACCTGGAAGAGAAGTCGAGCCTCCGTTACCTATTTGCGGCTGGTTGCAGCAACATCTGAAGAAGAAAAAGGGAGAGAAACAGGACAAACGGAAGAAGAGGAAAAGTGTCCCTAAAGGTCAGAAGTCATCATGTTTTGAGGAGGTCATTGTGATTGACTCCAGCACTGAAGTCATCTCCATCTCTGAGGATGACACTGCTGACGACGATGAAGGCGTCTGTGCTTTGAAGGGTCAAGGCCTGTGCCGGATGCAGACTTCCACTCCGGCACAACAGGTAGAGGAAAGAGTGAAATGTTGTGTGTTTGATGATTTAAAAAATTGTTACTGTGTCAGTCAATAGTTATTGCCAAGGCTGTGTGCTGCAGATAATCGTTATTTTAGTATCACTGCATCGTCTGACCAAATGAACAAAAAGTTAATTGCAACAGTTTTGCTGTGAGCTTGGCAGTGTTGACGTTCAACATGAGTGAAGACAGCCAAGGTTGAAGCACAAAGGGTCTCATACTCAAGCACAACGACAGAGCATCTAAACAATATGCACACGTGAACATGCTTAATCACAAAAATGTTAGCAAAACACTTCCAACCATAGAAGAAACGTTGCTGCTAAAGAACAGAAATGTTTCGAGTGCATACTGACACAGCATTGGAGCTCAGCTGGTCCATGATGCTGCTGCACCCTGTGGTCCAGAGTAGTTGCAATATTGCACTACATCCAGAATACTTGCATTTAATTACTTTCATCAGTGGACTTTTCCTGATATAAGGCATCTAGCCTGATTGCCTTTTCCTGCCCTTCTGTGTTATAAAACACTGAGATGTATCTAACTTGAAATCTGAGTTTGTCAGTCATTGTCACAGCCAAGAAACGCAGACTGAATGTTGTCGACGATGGTAACTCTGTTCATCAGTGATCATTGAAGCAGTTTTTAATTGCTTCTGTTTTTCCTTGTGTTCAATATTTGTACAGAAGGTTGACAGTGGATTTCATCCCCTAGCACTTACGCTGAAAGCTCATCAGAAGGGGTTGTCTCACATCTAGTATTAACAGTAGCAATGATTACAGCAAGCAAAAATGGTTTTAATATGGACACCTGCCTTTTGTTTCAAGACAGACTTTAAACATTGTGAACCTTTCCATTAACCTGGCATAAGTCACCCTTTAGTGGAGCCATGATTCTTTGTAATTGGCAAGAAACACCAAAGATCTGTCATTCTTGCTCATTGCCTTATGTTTCCCAATGGGGACATTTTGTGCTACTGTTACTCTACATTTATAGTTCTGCTCGCTACTTTGTCAGGCTGCTGTCCAGTGACCGGCTCCAGCTAGCTGATTGATTGCTGTTGCACATGTTGAGCTGCAGCAGTCAGTAGAGCATGCAGCAATGCTAGTGAGAAGACTAGTTGCTGTATCAGAGCGTTGCCCAAAGTTTTAGTGCTGGTAATCAGGGAATGAAGTGAAAATGTTTGACAAAGGCCAAACATGTTGGACCAATTTATAGAAATTGACTCTTTGTGTTTTCTTTCACTTTTATTGACAGGTAGACGGTGGTGTGATTGGTTCAATATGGATGCAAGGGAAAGCTTTGTATTGATGTGTAATATTTGATTATTGCTGTTTGATCATCCAGAAAACCAAACAAAGGAATCTTGGTGTGACGGTAACTGTGGCTTCCAGCAGTTCAGAATCAGATTCAGAAGATGCAGAATCCAAATCTGAGTCTGATTCGTCTTGTTCATCCGATTCGTCCGATTCGGATGCTCTGGAGAACTGGATGATCCTGGGTCGAGGGAAACAGGACGGAGACCAATCCATTTCACTCAACCTGGAAGGAGGGTCAGAGAGCCATGAAGGTGCGTCTTTGTTTTTGTGTGGCCTTGTTTATACATGTACTGGGTGCACTGAGCAACGTTTAACCCTTTTGTGATACGTTTTATGTGCCTTTGAATGTGTGTGATCAGGAGGATAGAAACGGGGAATAATTCTGTATGATCCAAATCATTCAGAACACTTAGTCTACCTGCGGCACATTGATAAGGAGCGGCTACACTGCGAACAATCTGCGCGAGTACATGTTTGTCTGTACATATGCATCATCTGTGTCTGCATGTTTATGAACTTGTAAGCCCTTAGCATTCCTGGCACTGTCTGCCCAGTCGCTCTCTTCTCTGATGCATCTTTAAGTATGTTTGCGTGCATTATGTACTGATATGTGTGTGCGGGCTTGTGCAAGTGTGTTTCTAAAATATTCCAGTTCTAATCAGCATGCATGTGTACATACACATGGATACCAACAGTCATAACGCTAATGCCAAAAACAAACAAACGGAGAAACAACAACGCAAGGGGGAAGAGGGGAGGGGAGGTCGGGAGAGATGGGAGTAATCAAAAAATGAATAAAAATGTTCCCTGCAAATCTCTTCAGATCTACACATTATCTTAACCTGCAGCCTCAGCAACCTCTCCAGCTCCTCTCCAGCTCCCTCCTCCTCCTCCTCCCTCCTACCTAACACTCTCCCATCTCATTCTTTTATCCTATTTTCTCACTATTGTGCTCTCTCTCTCCCGCTCTCCCTCTCTCTGTGTCTCTCTCACCGTTTCTTCCTCATTTGAATTTCCCTGGGCTGATGTTTCTGCAAGAGTGCCCACTGCCTCCTCTACACACAACTGGGCTAAAGGAGGGGGTCTGGAGCTGGTGGGAAGGCTTGAGGTTTTTGGCCTGGTTTTGGGAGGAAAGGAGGATTTTAGGTCTCTGTCTTTCTCTCTCCCTCGCGCTCGTCTGGCTTCTCTCTGTGATCTTTGGAGCTTGACCTCATGTCTGCACATGGGGGGTCATGGGTGTGGTGTGGAAGGGGTCTTAAAGTGAGAGGAATGGGGGAGGGCTTTGTCAAAAAAAAAAGGAAATAAAGGCAAGGAAATTAAGGGACGAGCCTCAGTAGTCTTGAACTGTGCCCCAGTTCTACACTACTCACTAATTCAAAGCCAGGCTTGAGTATGTCTTGTGTTCACCCCAGAAAAAATCCAAAATGTATTTTTTACTTTTTTGTCAAAATTTCCTGAAAAAGACAAAAAAATAAAAATAATAATAATGATCTGCTCCTATTGTCTTTGTATCCAAAGCATTATGAAGCTTATTTTTTCTGTGCCGGTGATATTTGAAAACTGTTAAAAACACATCATTGAGCCATACTGCTTCATGACCTGTTCATTCATTGCCATAAACAGAAGCACTGTAGTTTATTTTCAGTTGGTCCTGATGCTGTAAACACTGCCTATTAAACAAATGTGTATTAACCCACCTCTGGAAATAGTCCCTGTGAACAAAGGAAATTGTTGTTCACAGTGTTTTGGAGTAATACTAAACTGCAATACACAGCATCTTTTGGAAACTACTAAGCCTTTTTTTTAAAAAAGAAATTTAAAGTGTGCCCCAGTTTTGTCTTAAAGATTTACATCATCAATAAGGACAAAAGGGCATGGATCTGAAAGTCTGAGACAAGTCTAGCTAGAGTCTTCTGCAGGGTTTTTAGAGGTGGATCACCTTGCCTGAAACAAAGACTTTATGGGTGTGACTTCCTTGGCCATCATCTGCTAACTAAACTGATACTGCAACAATAAGATGTGTAAAAATCTGAGTGCCTGCAACCTTTTAGTCTACTCACTCAAAATGCTGCTGATTTATAATGCCACAACGTAATGCACAGTGGGAAATGAAGGGAAATGAGTGAGCTGATCACAACCTAATGGTGATGTGATTAGGAGATTGCTGTTATTCATACCGACTATTGATTAAATCTCGAGCATTAAATCTTTAAACAAAGATTTTGTATTTGTTGGAATTGAGAGGCAGCCTCATTTCAATATTACTGTCAGTCAGTATGCATATCTTCATGTGTTCTAAGTGCAAAACCAGTTTACTGTGATATTTAGTGCACATAAACCCACAGTATACATTCAGTGGGTAGTATGGAATTCTTCTTTTATGAATTAGTTTCACATACCCTTTTTATTTGCCAAAGAATGTCAGAGAGAAGAAGGCCAGTTCTCAATCACTGAGATATGGTTGGTTGAATTTTTATGATGACAATAACCATTACATCCATAACCCAGGGCTTCAAATATAAAGATTGATTTCTGTTTTTTATATGCCATGTTGTGAGTTGACTTCTGCAGCCTGGGAGCCTCGTGCGTGTTTTCATATTTGTGTGTGTGTGTGTGTGTGTGTGTGTCCGAGTAACTGGTTTGCACAGCAGTGACTAATAGTATTTGTACGCCTAAACCCCATCTCAGCATCACCATCAAATCACATTCACTACACTTAGTCTCCCCCTCTCGCCTACAGAAATTGAATCCTTTCATCCTCTTTCTCTCTTTCTCATTCTGTCTTCTCTCCTACACGGTGTCACTTGTTCACATACTTTTACTATCTAATCTTTTCTCAGCCCCTCAAATATGTTTTTTTTAAATTTTTTTTTTATCAAATACATGGACACACATGCGCACACACAGTCCGAGTGGATATCTGTCACCTGGCCGTGAGGGGCAGCTGGTGGTGGGTGGATCTGTAAGGACATCGGATAAGTAAAAGAGAAAAGATAGTGGAGAAAAGGGGGATGAGCAAGGGCCGTCTGCCTGTCCGGCAGCTATGCAGCAGCAACCAGATGGAACAAGAGAGAGAAAACAGGGCTTCCCAAAATCCAGCTCAGTGCCTCTCCCACCCGGAGTGGTGTGCGTGTACGTCCCCGTGAATGAATCTGGGGTGTAGGCGGGGTGTGCTGAAGCTAAACTTGAATCGTAAGTGGTTAAACTTCACTCAGTGGTCACACTTTTTTTTTTCTCTCTCTGTTGCTCCCCCCAGTTCTCTTCTTCGCTTTTTTTTGTCCCTTCGGTTTTGGTCAGTGCACACCAAACTTTGTTTGAGGCTTAGAGAGTCAGCTCTGGCTTGCTATCGGGGTGGCCGATCACATCAGAGTGTGTCTGAGTGTGTGTGTATGTCAGTGTGTGTGTGCTTCAATGAAAGTCTTGGTGAATTAGAGAGAAGTGTGTTTGTGTGTTTGTAACTTAAGGTTAACTCTGTCTGTCTCACAGAAAAGAAAGGTAAGCTCTCTTCTCTTCTCTTCTCTTCTCTTCTCTTCTCTTCTCTTCTCCCCTGAAGCATCCTTTTGTTTCTGCTCTATTTTATAGTCTTGTCATGCTGCTCAGATTGCCTAGGCATAACAAAAATGCATTCCTTTTCTTGAATATGTTTGTAAAAAGTAGTAGTACAAATGTTTTCGGCTTCATATCTGTGTAAATAAGCGTTGCTGCTTTGGGCCTGAAGCTTTTTCCTGCAGCCTCTTGCAGTCTGAGACCCCAGTTGGCCTTTGTATACTTTAAAGTCACGTGCCACTATACAGCATCTGAAATATGGATTTAGTTGGCTTCTCTGTGTGTTTATTGCTCTGATTATGCATGTGAGTGCATGTTTATGTACAGGGCATCGGGATTGTAAAATGAGATTACAATGGCATGTTGGGTACCGCACTAGGCGTTTGTGTGTGTGTGTGTGTGTGTGGCTGAGTGTGTAGGTGTGTTGTGTATGGGTGTGTGGGTGGGCGGGCAAGCGCTGCAGAAGGGAGACATGGATAGGATCAGCTCTTATCTTGGCTGCCCAGTGCCACACGAGGTGTAACGCCACACCCACACTACCACACAGTGTGTTTGAACAGGCACACACACACACACACACACACACACATACACCATGAAATCGCTGTGCCATAGTTTGACTTGTATTATCCATTTTTTACAGAGGATATGCAAATTAGGTGAGACTACTGTGTAGGCCTAATATTAGTGCATGCAAAATAAATTGTAGAAATTCAGTTGAAAGCTTGATGCTTTCATATTTAAAAAAGCCGGTGATTGAACAATCATTTGATGCTAGCGGCCTCTAAAATGTAATGACAGCTGGAATCTAGTAAATGAAACAGCAGTTTCTTTGTAATATGAAAAATCCCTTCAGTAAGCGGCTCTGTTTGGCCGCAGTCTTGTTCCTTATTGAGTGTTTTCTGTGGTTGTGTTTTCATGTTTGTCAGCATACATTTAAAATTTGACCTTTACCCTGCTATTTAATCATTGAAAATATCTATTTGTGTTCCTTGGACCCAGTAGACGTTTTATTGAGCCTTTTAAAAATCATTTTCAGACATGCTCATCAGCGAGAACGCTGTAACTCCTTTGCTGTTGTTTTTTTTTTTTTTCCCCAGAATGATATAAATATACATATATATATATATATATTTCTATCCCTGGGTGACTAAAACTGCTCTTGCAAGCTCACCTTCACTTTCAAAGTGAGTTAGTATGAGTATTTACCATTAATAAATTGTCCTTTTCCTGTCTCATTTTACCTAATATATCCTAGTGGCAATTCATCACTGCTGAATCCTAACCACAGAAATAGCTTTTGGCCCTCTTTTGCCCAAAGACTTTCCAAAAAATTAAGGAAAATTGGTAGTTTATACAAGAAGAAAAGAACAGCAGGAAAGAGGCAGTAGAAATTCAGATCAAACTGGAAGGAACGTGAAGCAGCACTTGAGTTTATATCCAAAAAAATCTGGTTGGACGGACAACTAGTGGGGCTCAGCATCAGACAGAGGGGGAGAGAGAGATGAGAGTGGGAAAGCTAAAGTGGATGAGACAGGCCTTGAAAAGCATCGGCCACGGTATCGGTCTGTCAGGGACGGTTTGTCTCCAGGCTAAGATCTTGGAGTGGCTCGAACATGGCTGGATTTCTGTCTGCACAAAATGATATCCAGTGTTGTCTGTCAGTCCTGTCGGCGTGTAGTGGACGGTTCTGCAGCTCAGCCTT